CCTTTAGATAAAATTGTTAAGTCACTGACTGTTTCACCACCACCACTGGACAGGATACAATTTAAGGTCACTGACCTCCCCCCCTCCGCCCCCTGTGCACTCCCCCTAACACCACTGCGCAGGGTTAACTAAGATCTCTGACTGCTTCATTCCCCCACCTCTACTACCGTTGGAAAGGGTCAAATTTAAGGTGATTGGCACTATCTTTCATACCCCCTCATCACTGCCACCACCCTAGGACAGCTCCCTGGCTGTTTCTGCTTCCCCACCACCAGCACCACTACTTTGGCACAGAAGTCTACACTTACACTATGTATTGGTATTCTTTGTCTATATAAGAGTGAACTTGACCCTGGCCGGTTTGGATCAGTGGTTAGAGCCTCGGCCTGCAGACTGAAGGGCCCCTATTCGAGTCTGACCAAGGACCTGTACCTCGGTTGCAGGCCCCATCCCCTGCGGGGTCAGGGCATTGATGTGTCTCTCTCACATCAATGTTTTTCTCTCTCTCTCTCTCCCTTCTACTTTCTCTGAAAAGCAATGGAAAAAATATCCTCAGGTGAGGATTAAAATTAACTAATTAATAAAAAAAAGAGTGAACTTGAACTCAGGGCTCAGTATATGAAATCATTATTTCCTAATGTGAACGTATGAAGTACTGCTTGCTTTAACCATTTCCACCAAGGCCTTATTTTATTTTTGGCAACATGTAAACATCAATTAAAATGAAAGGCAGAATGTTCTCTAAGGAAAGGTAAAACTAGCTAGAAACCACTCCTTTGGTCTGATTAGACTAGTTTTCTCACTGAATAGAATTATTGGTGTGTAGCTACTTCGCTTTTGTGCCTTCAATGGGTATTTATGAGCTCAATTCAACTGCATCTCTACTCTGAACTTAACAGTAATGCATACACTCAACGGCATCCAATGGTCTTCCCCACCTCTAGATTTTCAGGTCATCTTGGCGGTGGTATTACGGTATATAGACTGCTGTGTCTTTTCCATTCAAACCAAAGCCTACAAGAGACATACTAGTAACCTCTTTAGCCAGGAGCTTTGCTAGCAGAACTAAGCAATCCTGTTGGTGTGCATGGGCAGCCAAGAAGACCTGCGGCCCGTGGTTCCTCCAGTGACCTTCCCAGATGCTACCTGGAGGCAGAGTGTACTTGGTGGCTATTATGGGAGTCACCGAGCAGGAAGAATTTGAATATTGAAGAGGAAGATTTTCCCAATGTAAGCTGCAAATACTGCTGATCTTTCTGAGTTTGAAAATCACTTGCTTAACTCCTTCCTTTCCACCAAACAAAATGCTACTTTAAATCTATGTATTCTGTTGATTTGATGACCTCAACTGTCATGTGGGTAGTTTTATTAATGATTGTCCAAAAGGTGGCAAATCTTAGGGAACAATTATAATAGAAATTGTGTTCAAATGACCCAGTCCTAAGCTTGGTTCTATCATTAACTATCTGCACAACCTTAAACAATCACTTAGACTTTGTGTCCCAATTACTTCTGTCAGATAAAGATATCTGCTTTCTCTTCCTGGCATTTTTGACAATCAAATGAAATAAATCCTATCTAATATAAACACAAGACGTTGTACCTGTTTTACACAGCAACACATATACTTTTAGCTAATAGTTTTGTGTTAATTGGCAAAATCCAGAAGCCAAATCAGTGGGTTGATTTCAGTGCGGGTTGTACTTATAAGAGACAGGTCTTGAGAGTAATAAATAGATCTTAATGAGCTTTTTTGGATTCCTGTACACACTGTCTTGCCCAGAGGCCCCACTTCCAGTGGCTTTCAAAGGAGGATCCCTGGACCAGCAGTAGGAGTGTGAGCTGGGAACTTGTTAGAAAACAAACTCTTGGACCCCACCCCAGACCTACAGCATCAGGAACTGGGGGTGAGGTCTGGCAAGCTATGAGGGTTTTACAGATATAGCCACAAATTCTTTGATATTCCTCCCCTCAAGGGATTTAGTCGTACTTGCTTCTAAGAATGGTCAGAGTGATGAGATCTCGCTTCAAAGAGTAGGTTATAAAACAACTTCGGTCCTACAAAATACCTGACCAGCAATTCCTCAGAACTATCAAGGTCATTAAAAATAAGGAAACTATCACAGCCAAGAGAAGCCTAAGAAAACATGTCGACTAAATATAAGGTGCTATCGTGGATGGGATTCTGGAACAGATAGAAGGACATTACATAAAAACTAAGAAATTCCGAATAAAGGATGGACTTTGAACCAAATTTGTTTAATAGTCATGTATCAGCATTTGTTCCTGAATTGTAACAAATGTACCAAGTTAATTCAAGTATGGGAACTTGTGTACTATCTTCTCAATTTTGCTCTAAATGTGAAACTGTTCTAAAAAATTAAGTCAATTCTACAATAGGCTATTGTTGGTTATAGTCATGTTGCACATTACACCCCCAGAACTTATTTATCTTATAACGGAGAGGTTTAAAAGTTGCTAAGAGAGCAGATCTTAAAAGTTGTCATCACAAGGGAAAAAATATTTGTAACTATGGGAGCTGATGGATGTTAACCAAATTTATTGTGGTAATCATTTCACAGTATATATAGGGTGTCACCAAAAAATGTACTTGCACACTTTGAATAATCATAAAGGCAGTGTTTATTGAAATACATTTCATTTTCAAAATTGAGCTATCAGCTGTTAAAGTGTATATACATTGTGGTAGGGCACCCTATATATCTATCAAATCATTATGGTGTACACTTTAAACTTATACAGCGTTACATATCAATTATATCTCGGTAAAACTGGGAAAAATCAGTACCTTTTGACTGCAACATAAAATATATTCAAATAATATAATGAAAAAATATTATATCAATAAAAATATTTTATAACCACAGAATAACTGCTGAACCTTTAAAGGACAAGTATTACAAAACCGATAATAATAAAGTGAACATTTAAATAAAGACTATGGCTTCCGACTTGAGTTTCATATCCTCTGTCTTTTGTTCTGTCTCAGAAGCCACCTGTCCTGCTGCGAAGCAGCTCTGTGGAGAAGCCCACAAGAGTGAGCTCGGGCTCTTGCATCTCGGCCACCAATAGGCCATCGGGGCTGAGGAAGACCCAGAAACTTCGGGCGCGTGAGCCAGGGCCCGGCTGCACTGGCAGGCGCAGGAAGCCCCGGGAGGCCGCGGTCACGCTGGTGGCTCGCGTCATCACGGGCTCAGCTTTGACAGGTCTCCCCCAGGTTCCTGTGGGACAGCTGCTGCCAGGCGTGACCACGTAACGAGGAATCAGAGCTTCTGCCCAACTGTCAACCTTGATAAACTGTGGACCTTGGTCAGGGAGCAGACACGTGAATGCTGCCAAAAACAAGGCTGGAGCTGCTCCTATCGCTGACGTGGTGCCATCCGGCCGCGACAGAGTCCGGGGGAGGGAAAAGTGCCANGAGGGAAAAGTGCCACAGCAGCCTGCCGCTGCCAAGGCCAAGTTCTCAGCAGGAGAGATGGGAGAAGATTAAGGGTGTTGGCGGGGCCTGTATCCTGGTAACTCGAAGCCGCGGGGAGGGAAGTTCATTACATACAAGTGCTTTTGAATTAAAAAAACAGAAAAGAGTGAGCTCGGAAGCAGGCCCCTTTGGAAGCAGGTCCCTCCCCTGTCCTGCACCTTGACTATAGCGCCGTGAGAGCGGGACCCTGGGCCAGAGCACTCAGCCCAGCGCCTCCCGGGCTCCTGACCCAGGGAACTCAGTTTGCGGTAAGGAGCGGGCGGCTGCCCGATGCTGAGGCCTTGCTGGTGGGC